ATTATTGTTTATTAAAATATTAGCTATGATATTTTAGTTCATTCCTCATTATTCCACATAAATAAAAAAACATGTTAAACCTCATATTAACAATCAGTTTTGTAATATATATATATATATTGCAAAACGTTGTTCAAAATGTTATTTCATACATATTTTTATATAATTATTAGTCCAAAGCAAATCCAATAAGACAAGTCTATCTAAATAAATGACTAACACAATTGCGGGTTAGATATAATAAATAGAATTATTATATATAAACAAAAAATTTGTTCTGTATATGAATTGTCCTAAGTTTTAATACGGGTAAATATTCAAAATATATACTGCCAAAATTATATTAAAATGTTGATTTATATAATTTAAACAAACACCCGTGCGCCCGCACGGGTTAAAATCTAGTTTTTAGTTTATATCCAATCCTTCTTTAGATCATGTTTATTATCAATTCATGTTTTGTAACAATGAATTCATACACAATATGAGTTTAGGAGCTTTAGTCGACAATATTAATCTACCCTTGTTTCAGGGAAAGAAAATTATCCGATTGATAAAAGATCTTGTGGATGTTTATAAGCTAATGCTCAATCGTATGAGCACTCCTTGTGATGTTTATATTTTATTATTAAAAGTAATCTCGTAGTATATATGTTTTGTGCTTTATTACTTATTATTAATGTTTCATTCATCCGTAAAACTACACATGTAGAAATTATATTATTTATCATTTTCTCTACTGCATCTTGTTCAGCTACATATTAATAATATTTATTCACACAGCTGCGTATCGTTAACGTAATCCTTAGACGCTTAATATGTTTTCATAAATTAATTAAATTGACTTCTTGTGTTATTGATTGTGTTCATTAATAAGTTTATTACTTAACATCAAATCATTCATCCGATTGTTTTATCTTAACCAGTCACACATCTGGTTCTACTTTAACATATGTTTGGCTTAGTAGATTACACATTCATTACATATTTATATACTTCATATTGTAACACGTTTAGTTTCATATGCTATGAAAAGTTAATTTAACGTCACACGAGTTAAATAGATTATTAAAGTTGCTTAACGTGCAAGTTGTTAATTCTTAACTCAACACTCTTTGACATGTGGTTGTTAGTTCGTTAACATGTTGTTATGAAACATTGGGTTTTATATGCTGGTTTAACATTTAGTAACTTCGTAGTATTTAAAAAATGATGGTTACTAACGAAAAGGCCATAAAATATGAGCAAATTTTTGATTATTTATGAAAAACAGATTTTACAAGAAGTGCGCTTCCAACACCATCTCAATGGCAGATACTCCATTCTTCAGTTCACTTCTCTCTTAAGATAAGTATTATTTATCATGTTTAATATAGATTCATAGTCACCTAAAATTTGATTATATGAACTAATCTATATGTCATCTGTTTTTTATTTGAATTAATTTAANATGTTTAATATAGATTCATAGTCACCTAAAATTTGATTATATGAACTAATCTATATGTCATCTGTTTTTTATTTGAATTAATTTAAAACCAGTCAATACATAGATGGCTAATCGTATGATAAAAGTTAGTGAATGATAAAATTAACGAGTATTATTTATTTCTTAATATAATTAAATTCTTACGGTAATACATATTTCTATATTATTATATTCATTACCATTTTATATGTGAGAGTTTTAAGCTTAAGGCTTGACCTTAAAGATTCATAAGTTTTAAAAAATAATCCAAAAGAAAGGTATAATCACCAGAATGTAATTACCTAAAGCTCATTATGTATTTTGCATCTAAAGTTATCAGACCTGAAGTCTATTAATGAGTATTCTGTTGAGAGAATATCAACGATGCAAAAGATATTAAAGAATATATATTTTCACACAAGTAATATGATTCAGAAAATAGATCATAGAAGTTTATACTTGTATCTTGTCTCCTTGAGATTAAGAAAAACAATGAGCTATTCACGTCTAGTTGGTTATGATTCATTCTCTTAAAGAGAATTTGATATTTTGAGAAAGAAAATCCAGACAAAAGATATTGGTAAAGAAGTGAAATTAAAGTTTGTAGACGTGAATGTGGATATATATGGTTATGGTCAAGGTTAAAACCAAAAAGTTTCTTTTAGAGCTCATATTCTCACTTGAAGTTGAGAAAATAAAGATGACAATAAAGAAAATATATTTTTCAATCATCTAAAGATGAAAGAGTTTCCTTTTAGAACTCATATTCTCACTTAAAGTTGAGAAGATAAATATGGTGATAAAGAAGATATATGATTCATTCATCTAAGGATGAAATAAAATTATTGTGAGTACAATACAAGGTCTTATAAACCTTATAGACTCTCCAAAGAGAGAATATATATGAATACTCCAGAAGAGTACATAAACAATCCTTGATGAATCATATCATCATAAGTCTCAAAATTAAGAATGATCTAAGAAATAATATATGACTCAATAAAGTATGTTGAGATCCAATTCGAGATTGACAAACTTGTTGTTGTATCATCTCGAGGGGAAGAGTTAAATAATCTCACATTTTATTATAAGTGAAACATCCAGACGATTATGTGGGATTCTGAGACAAATTATGATGAGACACTAAGCGAAAGAAATGTTAAAGAAATATTTTACAAGGTAGTAGAAATATTGTTAAGAAAGTGTCTTCATCCTATTATAAATGTATAGTAAACCAGAAGTTCACACAAAACTTGGCATGAACCAGTTAGATCATTTTGGTTCAATAATGATGCAAAAATATTCTTAAAGTTTATGTGAATATTCAATGAAGAACCAGAAGATCCTTCCGAATGATTTGACATATGTTGCTTGCTCACAAGATAAAATGGCAATGTTGTTTTCACCTGCCAAAGAAAGCTATTGGCATGAATAAAAGAGGTGTTCGTGGACTGATCACCCACCATGCATCTTTGTAATATTGGTGAATTCACTTCTTAAAGTCTTTGACAACTATAGCAAATTCGCTAGGTTAAGTGCTAAACATTTTGAGCAACACTAGTTTGCATCAACCCAATAAGTATTCACTAGTTCTCCTCGTCATTGGTATTGGGTCAGAAACCAACCATTTTCCATCTAAGAATATTGGATATGCGATATACATTCCAATTTCTCCACCACAGAGCTATAATTAAGATGAAGTTTCGAATGAGGTTGGAAATATATGTTGGAAATGAATCTCCATTGATACTTAAGAATCTAGAGCCATCCCTGAAGGATATAAGTAAGGCTCGATATGAAAACTAAAAGTGAATTAGTATTTCCAACATAAGGGGAAGAAAATAAACAGTTGGAAAAGAAAATAAGTTGATATGAATTATCATTGATCCTCAGAGTAAAGATAATATCAAATAGAAGTCCAAAAGAAATTCAGTTATAGAGCTTAGTAAAGCAATTGCCAGGTATACTTTCTGACCCATAAAAATAGAGTGATCAAGTCACATATACCAGCTGTAAATGCTCCAAGAATAATCGATATTCTAGAAGAACAATATCAATCTGCTAGTCACGCCTGAAGTGTTGTAGACATCTTGGTTCCAAAGATAAAAATCCTCGTAAATTCAAAGGAGCATATATATATTAAAATGGTCAAAACGAGGAAATAAAGTTTATGAATGATCTCCAGAAGAGACATTAAACATGACTGAAAGAAATTCAGGTACCTGAGATAATGAAGAGATCTCAATAAAGTTAAGTTATGTATGAAATAAAATAGAACCAATAAGTAAATCGACATCGATGATATATATGTATGCGAAGTAGCAGTTGACATGATAAATGAGAAAGAGGATCATGAAAGAAAGTCTACTGAAAAGTGTACACAAAGAAATGATTGACCAAATCAGAAAGAAATAATAGATAAAGATATAAAATCTTATAAAAGAGATAAGTATTTGAACCAGTAGTTGATACACAAAGGTGTAAAACAAGTGGAAAGAATAGAGTCGTTGCACCAAAGAAAAATCAAGTGAAATTGATTATGAAAAGACATAGTCTCATGTGGTCGATGCAACTATTTTCAAGTTCCTTATCATGGTTGAAAATGTGATAATGTGTGTGGTTGTACTCTTTTTCCTTATCATGGTTTTTATCCTACTGGGTTTTTCTTTGACAAGGTTTTAATGAGGCAACAAAGAACACACTAATGATAGACATCCAAGGATGATATTAGAATTCAATGATAAAGTCTATCAACGTTCAAATTTCTAAGATCAAGAGAATCGAAGAATATGATCATACATATGAAGACTCAGAAGAATGGCGATGTTTGTATCCTACAAGTTCATTCAAGTCACAGTTTGGTCGGTTTATTCACTAAAGAGTTATCTACTGCTACTGTCAAGAAGAATTGTCTCAAAGATCTCGACATGTGTACACGTGAGGGGAAGTCATTGCGCGCTGCACTCTTTTTCCTTAACAATGGTTTTTCCCATTGGATTTTCCTTGTGAGGTTTTAACGAGACGGCATCTACGGCGTTTGAAGAACTTTGGTATAATTGACATCAAGGGGAAGTGTTATGAATATTGTGTGATGTCCAATATGGAAAGTTCAAGATTTACTTGTTCCCCACTCCAAGTTATACTTTGTAGTCAAGTTATTGTAATCCTATATAAATGACCCATTACTCATGGAATAATACATATCAATTCCTTCTTCTCTCTTCTCTACTTACAACAAATTTGACCTTTTAGCCTTTACTGTAAAAAAACAACTCAAACTTCATGGTTATGTCTAAACATTATGTCCCTAGATGTTAGTTTCGGATTCCTCTGTTAATTTTATGATGTTAGATATACAAGTTGGTGAAAATTGTTCAATTCTTTCTCACATACTTATTTTGAAGAATCTGTGAACAGACAGTGTTTCTTTCCACGTCTTTATGAATTTTTGTGATTGCCGTACTAACTCTATTGTTTTTGCTCTGCATTGTTGTTAATTTCAAGGCTGGGTTAACCCGGATCGGCTCCTGACATGGGAAGAGGTAAAAGCAAGATGTGGAAGAACATCACTCACGGATTTCACTTTGTCAAAGGCAAGCCAAGCCATCCCATGGAGGACTACGTAGTTTCCAAATTCAAGAAAGTCGACAGCCATGAACTTGGTTTGTTTGCAATCTTTGATGATCACTTGGGACATGATGCAGCCAAATACTTGTAGACTAATCTCTTTGAAAACATTCTGAAAGAGGTAAAAACAATCTTAATTTCAAGCCTTAAGGTAGACTCCTTTGTGTGACTGACCTTTCTTCTTTTAAATCTCAGAAGGAGTTTTGGACAAACACGGAGAAAGCTATAAAGGAACGCGTATAGATCAACCAATGCAGTGATCTTGCAGCAGTCTCTAAAGCTTGGTAAAGGAGGTTTAACGGCTGTAACGGGGATACTAATCGATGGTCAGAAGCTTGTGGATGCTAATGTTGGAGACTCGAGAGCAGTTATGTCTAAGAATGGTGTGGCTCATCAGATCTCAGTTGATCATGAACCAAGTAAGGAGATAAAAGATATAGAGAAGCGAGGTGTCTTTGTATCAAATATTCCAGGTACATAGTTGTGTGTATATATATATATATATATTCGTTACTAGACTATAGTTTCAGTGTATATATTAACTTTTATGAAGTGTTGCAGGGGATGTTCCACGAGTGGATGGACAGTTAGCGGTTGCGAGAGCGATTGGAGATAATAGCTTAAAGTTACATCTGAGCTCTGAACCAGACATTACGCACCAGGCGATTGATGATCAGATTGAGTTCTCAACAAATTCATCTCCAACTCTAACGAGCAGGTACCATTCATGCTTCCAACAATTTTTTTAGGATCTATCCGAGTCTCAGAATTAGAACTTTTATTTGCAGGAAGCTGGTTGTATTTGCAAATCTCAGATTGTCGAGGTCTACAACAAAATGGATGGTCGTTTTTATCTTGCACTTGCAGCAGAAAACTAGAGAAATCTGGCAGCTCGCTTTATTGCTACCAGTATGTTAATCCCAATGTCACCGATGTGATCAGGTGCAAAGATTTTATGTTCATGGATATTTAAGATATTATACTATTTTATAATTACGTTCACTAGTATCAACTTTTAAAATAGGTACCATGTCGAATTATCAGTTGATGATGGGAATGATAGTGTGACTTTCGTGGTGCTCGACAAAGACATGCATAAGCTTACCAAGCAGGACGCAGCTGCTATGGCTCTTGATGAGGTTTGTTATTTTGTGACCACCATTTGTCCACCGTCTACAAATTTTACAATCCCTGACCACCTCTCTAACCTCTAACATATTGCAGGTCAATAGTGGTGGTGGCCAGGAACTCCCATAGTAGCTTAAATAACTTGGCGAGAATGATTCTCCCAGAGATTACCAAGAGGCCAGCTTCCCAGAAGATCCTACAGTGATACATATCTAAAAGGTTAACAATAATGATGCTCAGAGTAAATAAGTGGCTGCCTCATTATCCAACTTCTTAGTACTCTGTTTTTTATTATATGTGTGTGTGTGTTCTTGAGAGATCTTTTTTGAATTAGAAACTATCTATCTAATCTCCAAACTATTCTATAATAAAAGGACCAGTTACTTATTTAATACAAAGGTTGCAATGTCGTAACTACGTAAGTAGTTACTGATCTCACTATACAGGACTTTTAGTTCAACTTGATTAGTCTTTGCAATTTTTTACTTTCTACCTTATTTTCTGAGTAAAGAAGCTGACCTAAGGCTTGAAACGTTCTTCTCATTAAAAGTCTCTTTGTGCGATCATAAAAATGTAGAGATAATCTTCAGTTTAAGTCAAGGCAAAACAAACGAAGACAAAATATTTGGAACTGTCACATCTATAAATTACAGAAATGATCAGAGCAGCATTATTTTTCATTTTGTATACAAACTGACAAGGGATCATCTTTAGTTAAAGTGCTGCAAATCAGTGGTCCATGTTTACGAAATACAAAAAGTGGTACTTGGATAACAAGTAATCTTTCTCATTTTGTATCTTATGGAAATTTTACCTCTTAAAGAAAAGATGTAACATAACTTTATTTCTAGACTAGGGGAGACCCATGCTTTGCGTGGGATTTAGTAATTTGTTTGTAGTATTTGTTGGAGGTTTTACCTTGGTTCATAGGGTTGTCTTCATGTTTGTGGGTGGTATGTTCTACGTATCATCAGCCTGAACTTGTGGTATTTTTAAAGCTTTGTTTTCTAGATTAGTGACTATGTGTTTGTTTTTACTGAATGGAAGAGTGTGAGTGTGATGTGTTTTTCTATGTTGTCTAAAGGTAGAAAAAATCTATAAATTATAGATTATGGAATCAAATCTCTGAGAGTATGAGAAGCTTACGTTTCTTGTGTTCGTTAAATGCTGGATTCGTAGTTATGTATTGAGTGTATAATAGTTTTGTTTGATTTATTGTGAAAATGGAAACACGCCTCAAAAAGTATGAGTGAACATATTGCGCTTAAATTATGAATTTTTTTTTTGTCTATTTGTAATAATAGCATGTGTTATCAATATGTTATGGTGTTATGTTATTGTTGCTCTTGTGACTCTATAGTTTGTCAAGTTACATTAAATCATAGTGACTCTAACTACATGAAGTGATTTCTTGATTCATTTTTAGCACATGTTCGCTTTGGTTTTGTTTTGTTTTGTTTCCAGATATCCAATAGTGTTTGATCGACTTCGGACTCTCCTATATATAATATTATTAAATCAGAGATCTAGGATCAAAAATTCTTGACAGCCTCAGTATTAAAAAAAAAAGGACGTGGGGGCTATCTCATTTTTGTATAATAGAATATTTGTACAACAATGTCATCTACGAGCATGAGTTGATAAAAGTAGATATAAACGCGTTTTCAAGATGTTGCAATTCAGTCCGTTGAATTGTACCTATTCTTATATACCTAAGACGGAATAAACCTTGACGAAATAAAAACATACTTAGCTAAGTCAGCTTCATAAGATCAGTAATAATTTGGTATAACAATATGTATTTTCACATGCTTAATAGACTAATTAAGAAGAAGTGTAGAAATAGAACAAAATAAGTTGGATAAAACTAATATTAAAATTAGTAAAATTTAAGAATGGTACAGAGAACCCAAAATTATTAATTAGAAATGAAATAAAAAATATAATGCAAACAAATCCCGTGCTTGCGCGGGTTAAAGAACTCTAGTTTTTATGCTTAATAATACAATATAAATGAACACTAAGACTATATTGTAAGTTCTCACTAACACTAAACACAAACAATCTCAAAGCATTATTGAAACATGCATAACATCATTAAAAACAGCATTTCTGATTGTTCTTGTCGCAATATTTCAATCATGCTAGTATATCGCTCTATTTTTCTTTCACATTGAAATATGAGTTTGACTTTAAGTGACTATATTGAATAATTGAAATGTTTAGTATATATATAGGTGTGTATTTCAAATGCAAGGGAGATGAAATGTCAACAAGACGTGGAGGAATATTGTGTGGGAGAAGCATGTCTACCAATCAAAATCAAGATCAGTATTTTGAGAATTACTTTAAAGATGAAGATTGCCTAAATGGTTGTTTCCAAACTTGAAAATCTCTAAAATGTATTTTCATGAATGTACATGAGAAATATGTTAGAAAACATTGCTAAACAACTTGAATTTTTGAAGAGTATAATTCATGATACACAGTTATGATTTTATCTATATGTGATATCCTCAAAAATAAATATGATCGTGTCTTTTAATATTATAATAAATCTTTGAATTTAAATATTCCATATTTAAATTTTGTATTTTATTCATTCAACTATTTTTATGTGATATTTAGTGAACTTATTGTCAGGAATAAAAAGCTTTTATGATTTATATATACGTTCTTGTTTTGCTCTTTTTATTATGCACTTGAGTAAATAAGTGAACCAAGGAACGTAGTAACTCGACTGGTTGGAGAGGAACTTTGTTATTAGGGTATCATATGAGAACTAATAATCTGAAAAATAAATGTTAACCAGTATTTTTGTAAAAGGGAAATTTTCTGAATAGGTTAATGTACTAATCAAACTGATCTGCTTTGTTGTAGAAATTCATGGAACATGTCATCAGTTTCAGATTTCATATCAGCAGTTTCGAAACTCTCAAGAGCTTAGCAAGGTTACACACACTTCATCACAGGTAAACTTATTATTAACAGTTTGGGAGATCGCCAAGAAAAAATAATACAAGAGCAACAAAATGCTGAGTAAGGTTGGAGATATACGATTTCTCTTCCTTACCGTGTAGCTTTCTGTCTTTACAGTATAAACTGAAAGCTATATATGCAGCATGTGAATTTCTCATGCTTTTGCTATTTTGTTATCAGTGAGTTGTTACTTTCATCTTTGACAACATAAAATAAATTTTAACAAGTAGTTTAAGCTTTGGTCATTTCTGTAAAAGGTATAAATTTCAGGGGTATCTAATCTAAAAAATATATGAGTCCAAAATTTTAATTTTATCTAGGATGTCGTTCAATAAACATTCATGGACAATACAAGTCACATGTATGCTATCTATGTTGCTGTCTATATTGAAATTGCAGTGTTTACTCAAATTATTTTTATTATATTGTGTAAAATTTAAAAATATAAAATTAAGCAACCAAGTGTTGATTAGATCATGAAATGTCAAAAATACATAACTACCACTATCTAGAATTTTTTAGACCTAAAGTTATCAAACTGGTTAACACAAGAGAAATTTGTGCAACGAATTTAAATAGTTGATGATTGTTTGTTAAAATACAATCAGTATGGTCAGTTTAGATATCCAAAATATGTGCACTTTAGCTCTATCCAATATATCATTAAAACATAAATAAAAAATATTTCTTAAAAGAAGAAAAATTAAGTTAAGAAATAACAAAGTGCATGCATCATAACAAACATCACTTTTCAGAAGTGAATTATTGATCAAATCATTTTATAATAGTGGCTACTAAAAATACATACATAAACTAAGAAAAAACAAAGTGCATAACATGATTTCTAACTTTCTCCGCAGTCGCATTGAAATTTAATACATTTCATAATTTGGCACGATTCAAAACAACTGTTTTGCAATCAATATTATTAAAGAAACTTCCAAAATATTGATTTGGTTGCGCACGTTTTGGTTGTCATGATGA